TGAGGGGGAAGAGAGGCGGGGGGTGGGGGGGAGGTTTGTTTCATCCTTACTTGTTGGGCAAGCTTTTTTCTAAGCTGTTTCACTGCTGGAGAATGAGCCCGATTCAAAGGCCACTGAAGTTAGGGGAAAAGCCCCTACTGACTTCAGTGGACTTTGGACAAGCCCAAAGGTCTAGCAGTAAGTTTCCTAGGGTTAATTTGTATTATTAAAGGGCAGAGTCTGATCTAAGTCTGGTGAAACACCAGAGTAACTTCACTGACTGCAGTTTGATTACTCCAGTCTAAATGAAACCCGAATAAAGTGTCTCCTGAAAATCTGGGGCCCTGTGTACACTGGAAAACTATTTTGAAATAACTAAATTTTACTTACTAACTCCCTATTTTACAAAATTGAAATAGCATGTCCGTACTATGGGAAAGCCTCGAAATCAGTCTGAGGCAGGCTCCATTAATGTGAATATGCTATCTTGACTTAGAGCCCCAAGAAGCACTGGGGAGTAATTAATCTGAATTACTCTGGGAAGTAGTTATTGTGAAATAGTGGCACCAGAGCATCCACGCTAACACTGTTTTGAAATAGCAATTTCAAAATTAGTGTTAGTCCCCGAGAAAAGAAGGAGTACAGATTTTTAAATAAGTGGCCCCTTATTTTGAAAAAATGGGCTTAGTAGTGTGGTCGCTCCACTTACAAATTTAACCTGAGGAGGGGGGCTATTTTGAAATAAAACTCTAGTGTAAACCAGGGCTGGAGAAGGTTAGCCAGCACTTTTTTGATTTGGTGTTGTGCCAAATTATACCTACTGATCTGAGGATCCAGGTCTGGGTATCTGCAACTGCATTTAGTGATATTTGTGTGGGTGGGAAACATCTATGTGCAGATTACATTTTGTTATGTGCACTGAGGAATGTCTGGATGTGCACTGCAAGCAGAAATACATGCTGTTGGCTGTAGGCACTCTGCTAATCAGCTGGGTGGCTTTTTAATCTCTCCTAGGTAGCCTTTTGAGTGCTCAGTTTATAGGGAACATTGATAGGAAAGATTGCTGCACCTGAGAAAGAGATAGCAACAAGAAAGTGGTTTGTGCTGGAGGTATGTTCAGGATTGTATGTTTCATACTGGGTGTTTACAGATTCAGTAAACAGTAGGCTCACTTTTGTTCTTCCTTTTTGGAGGCTGTCTGGCAGGAGAACCTATCTGGGATGTCCGGCTGTCTATTGTAGTTCCTCTCTGAGGTGGGTTTTTTTTTTTGTATGGTATGGCAGACAATTTCCTTCAGGCCTTCAGAACTCATGCTGCATTGTTATTGCAGATACGCTTCTGTCTACCTGTTACTTTGCAATCTCACTCTCACACTGGCTTGTCCAACAAGAATTCCCCAAATGACAGGGAACATTAAGTGGTTAAGTTGTTTAACACAAAGAATATGGATGGGTTAGTCATCTCCTTTTGAGATAAGACACATGGAATTCGGAAGGATGTTTTCTATATACCCCTCCATTACAGACCTGCCTCCTTGACTGACTCCTATCTCTCCTGTTCCAGTCTGTCTGTAAAGTGCACTGGGGACCTGCAAGATGAATGGTGTTAGAGACGATTGACGTAGCAGATATTATTAAGGAGTGTGTTAGTGATCCCCAGTGAAATGACAGTAAGCAAATTAGATCTTTTTTCATAGTAACTCCTCCTAAGGTTTAAATAAAGTGTACATGGTGCGAGGGTTCCAGGCACTGTGGTTTTTACTGGGCTGCAGATAGTTGCTTGGGGGAAACCCCACCCCATTTGTGCAAGCTTGCAAGGCTCAAAAAGCAGTAGAGCTATCACACTTCTTAAGCAATGTTGCAGGAAGTGCGTTGTCCAGGGGAATCTGCAACCTAGTGTGCTCCGGAGCAGTGCTCCACACAGAGCCTTTGGGTCAGCAATGTCAGGATTGTGGGCAGGCTGGGGAAGGAGTGGGAGGCTGGCCAGTGGGTCCACCCGTAATGCAACACAGCTGCTACTCCAGTCTGGGGGGTTGTGCTTTGCATGTTGGGAAGAATCCCTTTCTTTTGTCCCACACAGGCACTGTACTTAGGAGCTGCATCGGGGGCTTTCTGTGCCCATGCAATTCTGGTAGAACAGTGCAGCTGCACAGGCACAGCTGGGGCATGATCAGGCCCCTGATAGGATTTCACCCTCATTAGGCACCTGATCCCCCTGTCGCGGGTTAGGTTTAACTCCCATTGTCTTCAGAGGAAAATATGGCCCTGCACGTGTTTCTTTCCCAGAGGGGCCCTATTCTCCTGCCACAGGATCTGAGTAATTCCCGCTAAAGTCAGTGGAATTACTCGTGTCTTGCAGCAGGAGACCTGGGCCCCTGCAGCAGGTTAACTCTCTCCACTGTGGCTCTTAAGCAAATGATTGCTGCAACTAGCTATTGCTCACTATCACCATGTGCTGATCACCATGGTGAGTCAGTGCTAGCCAAGCAAAATCCTTGATTCCTGAATAGCTCAGCGCCAGGGAGAGCAACACATCATGTAACTATTTCCTTTATGAAAATGAAGGCTTTAAGCCCCCTCTCTCCAGACAAAGTAGCATGAGATACCATTAGGCATTCTTGTTCTTGGCCTTCCCTTCACTAGTGCAGAAACTGAAGGACTCTGAAACCTGAAGTGTTGCAGGCACAAAAGTTGCAGCACATTTCAGACTGCTGCCTCTCTGAGCAAGCATCGTGTAATCACCGCTCGCCTAGAGTACAAAGTTTCCATTAACGTGAGCTAACCAGCGAGAGCTTTTGGAAAGGATATATGTATGATTAGTGCAGCACGGGAACTGTATTGGTTTGTGATTGGCAGGGACTGTAAAATATTTCTGAAATGAGACAATGCAGCTGTGACAAGCTGCCGTCAAGTGCCAGGCAGATCCTGTGCCTTCTCTCTTTACAAAGTGTTCCAAAGCCTTGTCTCGCAGCAGCTCTCCTGATTTGCTCCCCTAAAATAAATGTCATATTTCTATCCAAGATGTAATTTTAATGAGGAAGGGGCAGTACAATAGCAAGTATTTCCCCATGGGGTATGCTAGGGATGATGCTGTGCAGAGCCCCTGCCATGGC